ATTTTATTCCCTGGCCCCCTCGGCATGTTGCTGTTCTCGCGGCCGTCGCCGACGACGTCGGCCCGGGCGCTCGTGGCCTGTGCCGGGCGTTGGCGTTGGTCCTGCCCGCTTGGGACGTGGCCGCGCGCGCGGCTGGTTTGGTGCTAAATATAGACGAAAGTTTCGTGGCGTGTCTTTTGTGTGCCCTTACCCGTTCCGAGATCCTGAAGGGTCCTGGTCGGTTGAAGGGTGTCACTGCCGCGCGTTTTCCTTTTGTTGGGTACATACTGTATCTCGTGGGATTTCCTCGGGGCCCGGTGGGAGGGAAGCCGCTCGGCTCGATGTCTCTCGGAAGTGCCTGGAGCGCGCCCAGGCCCTCGAGCTTCTCAGCCTGGGCCTGACCCGTGCACTCGCGCGATGTAGTATGTTTCGTTTCAGCGTGATGGGCCACGCTGCTCAATGCTACTCGCCCGCGGCAGATGCCTGCCAAGGAGTTAGGTATCCCTGTTCAGGCGAGGTCGCTGGCGTGCATGGCGCAGGCTGCTCAGCACAGGCGCGCTGTCCATACGAGAGCCTTCTTCGAGATGGGCCGTCTTCTCGTCGCGGTCGGGGCGCCCGACGAAGCGCTAGTCACTGAGTATTGGGGAACACGGCGGTGCAACAGCGCCGTGGTCCAGATGCGTCGAAATTTCCAAGACGCCCTCCCAAACCTCCCTGTTGATAAGCCTTCTCTCCAGAAGCGCGTCGACAAGTATTTGCAGGACAAGTGTAATAATTCAGCTCGTTGTGAAGTAGCCAAGCGTCTTACGCATGTTCATTCTGTCTTCTCGGAGGCCCAGCTCGATTTAACGAGCTCTCACGTGTTCTGTATGAGCCAGTTTGTTCCGAGCTTTTTCCTTGTTGCCGTCTGACAGGGGATTACGACAAGTGTGTGTGCCCTACCCGCCGCTTTCGGGAGCCCGCGAGACGGCGCCGCCGGTGCCAGTTTGCCGCAGCAAGATCTGATCTCCTCCATTAGCACGTCTGCCCGTGCTTGGACTTCATCTTGGCTCGCTTCCCCTCTGTAAGAACGCTTTTGTGAAGGCAGATCTGCCTTCAAAAATCCGTTCTTACAGAGTAGACCAGTCCTTCCTCCTTCATTTTGCCTCTGCCTCGGCTGTCGGTCGCATCGGGCCCTTCGGTCTCGGCCCGCAGCCTGCTGAGCAGTTCACGTCTGTAGCCTGCTTGTTCGATACCCTGTAAGAACGGTTTTTTGAAGGCAGATCTGCCTTCAAAAAACCGTTCTTACATTTTTTGATGGCATATCTGCCTTCAAAAAACCGTTCTTACAAGGCAGATCTGCCTTCAAAAAACCGTTTTCGGTTCCCCATACGTGTACAGCGCTCGACAGGGGGGGACCTGTCGTGTTCGGACGCCTCGCACGAGCCCGTATCAGACAGTCGGCCCGGAGGTCGCCGGCTGTAGGCGCCATCTTTCGGTCACGTCTGGATGACCTGTTGCCCCCCTCTCGTCCGTTTCTTGGCCGCCTGCCATCTCCGCGCGTCTTCCATGGGAGTGCCCCTCCTCCTCGTCCTCCTCAGCTCCTCCTCTTCCTCCTCCTCCTCCTCAGCTCCTCCTCCTCCTCCTCCTCCTCCTTCCTCCTCCTCGGCCCTCGCACCTGTTGTGCGCGAGCGTCTGCCGCCGCGCCGCCTCCCGTGCGCGCGGGGCTCGCCCCCGAGGCGGGAGGGGGGTCGCGCGGCGCCGCCCCGCAGCTCGCCCGGAACCCCCGACGCCGCGGCACGCTGCAGCATCGCGCGACGCCACGACCAGAGCCCTCGAGACCATCTGAGCACCCGAGAAGGCGCCGCCTATCTTGCGACTCCTCTTGGATTTTATCGGTCTCTTTACATGCTGCTTTGGTAATGAGCCTGGAGGGATCGCTACCACCGATCTGAGTGTGGGTCATCGCCCTCGACCCCCGACGGCGGCGCTATGGTGGGGTCGCGAGGCGCCGCCCCGCATGCTCGCCCGGAAACCCCCCCGACGCAGCGGCACCGATGCGCATCGCGCGACGCACGACCAGAGCCCTCTGAGACCATTTGCTGGTGACGCACCAACTGACCAACGCCTCCTCCTCCTCGCCCTTTCTACCTCCTTCTCTCCTCCTCCTCCTCCTCCTCATCTCTCCTCCATCCTCCATCTTCCTCCTCCTCTTCCCTCCTCCTCTTCAACCTCCTCCTCCTCCTCTCCTCCTCCTCCTCCTCTCCTCCTATCTACTTCCCTCTCATCTCTCCTCTCTCCTCTCTCTCTCTCCTCCTCCTTCCATCACTCCTACTTCCATCTCGCCTCCTCCTTCTCTCCTCCTCCTCCTGCCTCCTCCTCCTCCCCTCCTCCTCCTCTCTCCTCTCCTCCCCCCGTTCCCCACCACCTCCTTCCCTCCCCCCCTTGCCCCTTCCCCAAGCCCACTCCTTCAGGCCCCTCCCCCCCCCCGCCGCGACACGCTAGAGCATCGCGCGACGCCACGACCAGGACGCACGGGAGGACCATCTGAGCGACGGAAGCACACGAGTTCGATGCAGTCAAGAAGTGGCGAGGCGTCCTGGCTCGCCTATATAGCCCTGCCAGACAATGCTCCAAGAACCTCTCGTGATTCCAGCGAGGTGTTCTTAGCACCTATCTGGCAGAGCCTGTCTTGTTTCATCACATCAGGTTTTTGTGTTCTAAGAATAGTGTTTTTGTGATTGGAACATTTTTTGGGGTTCTAAGAAGATTTCGTGGTAGGACTATCGGAAGCCGGGATGGTCGGTCCCTGCTCAATACAGTGGAGACCCATGCCAAGAAACTCTTTGCTGGCCTCCAGGATGCCCGCGGTGTCGATGGTCTCGATGGTTCTTCGCTGTGGAAACCGTGACGTCCCCACACCCACACATCGATTGACGACCTGGGGTCTCAGGGTTGGGTTTCTTGTGGAAGGTTTCTTGTGGTCGGGCCCCTACTGTAGAGCCGATCCGATGATCGCGCGTACGCCTCCCACGTAAGGCCGCGCGTCATCGCCCTCCTGCCCACGCGGTGTGCCACGCTGCCGGCGTGAGCCGCGGCGCACGGCCACGGTATGCCATCTCTCGTCAGCCCCGTTCTTTTTCGTCGCTCACCGTTCTGCTGCATCTTCCGAGCCAGGTCTTTCTGGGCTGCCCCAGACATTGCGACGTTGCGATGGTGTTCCGCACGAGGTCCCCGGGAGTCCCTGCCCTCTCCCCCGGGGCCAGCCCTTCAGCTCCCCCCGCTCTCTCACGGCCTCGAGGCCCTGCGAAGGCCCCGGAGGCCGGAAACGGCAAAGAGCCTCCCGTCGTCACGTTTCTTCACGACGCGAGCATGTCTTGGTGCAGCTCTTTTGGACGAGCAGTTCCCTCAGAACGGTTCGCTGGAGGGCTCCCGTAGAGGTGAAACAGAAGAACAGGAGAGCCCCACAGGGGGGATCTGGGGAACCCGAAACCGTCCAACGAGATCCAGGCTGGGTCTGGCAGCCGTTTCGCCTGTGACTTATTTAACCGCATGCCGATGATAATAAAGGGACCCCCCCCCTTCAGTGTTTAGAGTTGATTATCGTCGCCCTATACAAAATTCAAATTGGGCGGCGAGCGCTGAGGCCGAACTTCATTATCACCTCGAAAAGCTATGTTGAGATAGCAACATCAAGCGATGTTGATATAGCAACATCAAGCGAAGCGATCACACTTTTTCAGGATGTGTCAAGCGAAACCAATAATTTTGGGAGGCAGACTCAAACGAAACGAGCAATGTTCTTATTATTATTATACTTTCCTCTTCTTCTTTTATATTTCTATCTGTCCTCACGCTCGCCTGAACTTTTTTATCCCTGGGGTTGATTATCCATGGAAAATGAAGCACATGAGCTACCCTACACGAGCACTTTAAACAAAAAACAAGTTTCATAAAGCGTTTGTAAATTAAAATTGATAGATTTGGAACTTTGGATTTTTCCTTTCTTCGTCCTCTTCTTATTATCCTCTTCTTCTTCTTTCTTATTATTCTTCTACTGTATTCTTCTTCTTTTATATTTCTCTCTGTCCCCACGCTCGCCTGAACTTTTTTTATCTCTGGGGTTGATTATCCATGGAAATTGAGGCACATGAGCTACCCTACACGAGCACTTACAAAAAAACAATTTTCATGAGAGATAAGCCATTGTTGAGGATATTTCTATGAAAACTAAACGCCAAGGATGTCTCAAAACGTGCTCGGCTTGGTCTCCTCTTGATCATCTCTTACTTCGAGATTATGCTGAGGTCTGCTGGGCTACTTTTATTATCTCTCCCTGAACCCCGAACTTTATTATCCCCTAGTGTTTATTCTCACGGGCATGAGGTTACGCTTCGTTGAAGAATCGTGCTCTCGCCTTGCCAGCCGCAGGTTCGGTCCAGACGGCCTCGTTCCCTTGTAGAATATACGCGAATGTTCACACGGCCGTGGTGTCATGCCTGTCCCCATTTAGCCGACCTACTCCTCGACCCGCCTTGTTACCGTTGCTGCTTTCGGGGTTCCCGGGCTAGGGCAATTGACGGTCCCGGGGCCCGGCGAGGGCCCCTTGGAGGCCCGAAACCGACCAAGAATCACCCGCCGTGATTTACCTCTTCGCGACGCGAGCATGAGTTGGGGTGCAGCTTTTCTTTGGAACGAGCAGTTCCTCAGCAGCGTTTCCCGACTAGCCCCTCCTGAAGAGCCGAGTTTCGACCACCACTGCCCCAGGCAGGACGGGTCAAGGGAGGATGGGAAGCTCCTCCTGCTCCTCGTCCTCCACCCTCCACCTCCTCCGCCTCCTCCTCCTCCACCTCCTCCACCTCCTCCTCCTCCTCCGCCTCCTCCTCCTCCTCCACCTCCTCCACCTCCTCCTCCTCCTCCTCATCCTCCTCCTCCTCCTCCTGCCTCCTCCTCCACAGGGCAGTCGTGGTGGACAAAGCCAGCCCGCCGCCCTCCCGCCTCCCGCCGCGGGCGGTGCGCGGCGCCTCCCGCCGCTCCTCGAGGTCGCAGGAGGCGGATCGCTGCGGCAGCGGGCGCCCGCGGAGGCCGCCGCGCGGGAGAGGAGGAGGAGGAGGAGGAGGAGGAGGAGGAGGAGGAGGAGGAGGAGGAGGAGGAGGAGGCGGAGGCGGAGGCGGAGGAGGAGGCGGAGGAGGAGGAGGCGGAGGCGGGAGGTCGGAGGCGAGTGAGGAGGGAGGCAGGCGAAGGAGAGGAGGAGGGGGGACGGAGGAGCGAGGCGGAGGCGGAGGCGGAGGGCGGAGGCGGTGGCGAGAAGGAGGAGGAGGAGGAGGGAGGAGGAGGAGAGAGGTGGTGGAGGCGGTAGGCGGAGGCGGGAGCGGTGGCGGCGGCGCGAGGCGGAGGCGGAGGCGGAGGGAGGAGGCGGATGAGGAGGCGGAGGCGTGGCGGTAGGCGGAGGCGGACGGCGGAGGCGGAGGCGGAGGCGGAGGCGGTGGAGGAGGAGGAGGAGGAGGCGGAGGAGGAGGCGGAGGCGGAGGCGGAGGCGGAGGCGGCAGGAGGAGGAGGAGGAGGAGGAAAAGAGAGAGAGAGAGAGAGAGGGAATGAGGTTTAAGTCGGGCCTGGCCTTCCCGAGGAGGATGATTCGGACATCGTGGAAACATCGTCTGTGGAACAAGTGTTTGTTCTCACCATTTCTGACCATGCTGGGTTTTTTTTGTTGGGCCATGCTTATCCGTTCTTCCAAAATCCGCCTGTAGGAGGACACGCCCGACCGAAGAGAGAGGCAGAGAAGGTAGCGGGCAGAGGGACGGATGCGCCCTGCAGAGGCAGGATGTGCCGAGCACGTAGGCAAGAGTCGTGTCTCCCCCCCCTTCAGCCTCGGCGCGCGAGGAGGCGGACAGCAGCTCACAGCAGAGCCCCCCCGCGGCGAGGCGTCCGCCCAAGACATCGCGGAGGAGGTCCTGGGGCTGTCCTCGGTGATCGACGAGGCAGCGCGAGGGCGCTCGCACGATCGCCGCCCGCCGGCGGCGTCGGCATCGGCGCGGGCGCGGTGGCGTCGTGCGCCGCGGGCGGCCGATGGAAGCACTGAAGAGGTGGTGGGCCGGGAGGCAGGGAGGAGGAGGAGGAGGAGGAGAAGGAGGAGGAGAAGGAGGAGGAGGAGGGGGATGATGATGATGATGATGATGATGATGATGTATGATGATGGATGATGATGATGATGAGGAGAGGAGGTAGAGGAGGACGCGGGAGGAGGTGGAGGGGTAGGAGGAGGAGGTGGAGGTGGAGGAGGAGGGGCAGGGGTGATGGGGCCGGGGGCGGGGGCAAGGGAGGCTCTCCCCTGCCCCCACCGCCCCTCCCTCCCCCCTCCCCTGCCCCCTCCCCCCTGCCTTCACAGGTACACAATAGTGATACGATTCTCCTCTCTCCCCTGATGACGCCCGGAAGATGCTGAAGCGCTGGCCTCATTTTCGGGCTTCCGCTCGTTCAGAATCGTGCTCCCGCTGCAGCGTTGGCCTCATTTCCGCCCTTCCGCTCGTTAGGAATCGTGCTTCCGCTGCAGCGCTGGCCTCCTTTCCGTGCTTACGCTCGCTCCGAATCGTGCTCCCGCTGCAGCGTTGGCGTCAGTATTTTCGGTGCCATGCCACGGCATTCAATGCAATGCTACGTGGTGTTCCGCTGTGCGATGCGATGCCTTCAGTACGCAGTGCCACGCCATGCTATGCCATGCTACGCTTTGATCTTCAACGCCATGCCATGCCTTGTTCTGTTCTATGCCGCTGTTCGATGCCATTTTTTGCGTTACAATACTTTGTGATGCAATTCTTCACTACGCAACGCCACGCCATGCTATGACATAATTACTACGCTCTGCCGCGCTCTTCTACGCCCTGCTACGCCGTGCTCTACGATGCATCGCGCACCCTCTCGGTATCATCGCCCTGCTCGATATCCGACTGTGCGAATAGAGAGGAGACCTACGCCATGGTAAGGAATGGGAGGGAGGGGTAGGACGTCAGATATGACGCGAGCGCACCTAGCCTGCTACCCCCCCCCTCCCCCGCCACCTCCCCCCTTTGAGGGGGAAGGCGAGCTGGGCACTCCGGCGCTGATTTCTTTCCTGTCCGCCGCCAGGAGTCCTATAGAGGTCCCGGGTCTCCCAAGCGACCCCACCGTGTGAGGGGGAGTCGGGCAGGGAAGCTGTGCACAGGAGGGGCAGGACCTGGGTGGCGGCTGAGCGCAGGAGGACGAGCACGAGGAAGAGAGGATCAGCAGCGCGATGAGAGCCAGGAGCAGGAGGGCTGGGGGAGGGGCGGAGGAGGGGAAAGGAGGGGGGGCGGACAACGACGAGGAACGGATGGATTCCAGAAGTGAGTGCCGCGCCATGTGGAACCGCGGGAGCAAAGCGTGCCGACCCTGGAATGGGGCCACCGCTGCGGCGGGAACACTTTGTTGGATAGCCCAACGACGTCTTGTTTGAAACCACCTATGGAAATCGATGTCTGGACACCTGTGCACGCCGGTCGTTGAAAGCGGTCACTTTTGGTGGACTCCCAGATGCCAATCTATTTTACCCGCCTTCCTATTTCAACGGTCGAGTGGTTTTCCCTCTGCCCTCCTATTCAGGGGGGCGGGCGGAAGCCCAATCTGCTTTTAGCAGCGCCTTCCTACTTCACGGGTCTTGTTGCTCCTTCCGACCGATGTGCGCGTCTGAAAACGTGTGCGTGCGGCGCGTTGCCCCACTCGGGCAGCATCTGGGGGAGAGGAGCGCACGCAGTACTCCTGCTTGAGCACGCTGTGGGATGGAGGGCAGGGTGCACGGTTTCCCACGGGGCCGTAGGCGACCCGAGAAGGAGGAGGAGGAGGTGGAGGAGGGGGAGGTGGAGGAGGAGACGGAGGAGGAGGAGGAGGAGGAGGAGGAGGAGGAGGAGGAGGAGGAGGAGGAGGAAGGGAGGAGGAAGGGAGGGAGGGGGGGGGGGGGGGGGGGGGGGGGGTCGGGGGGGGGGGGGGGGGGGGGGGGGGGGGGGCCCCCCCCCCCCCCCCCCCCCCCCCCCCCCCCCCCCCCCCCCCCCCCCCCCCCCCCCCGCCCCCCCCCCCCCCCCCCCCGGGGGGGGGAGGTAGGAGGAGGAGGAGGAGGAGGAGGAGGAGGAGGAGAGGAGGGGGAGGAGGCGCTGCGGCGACCGCGCTGCCCGTCGCCCGTGCAGCGTCTCGCCAGGGCGACTCGCCGGGGCTCCGGGGGGGGGGACGCCCCCGACCTAAGGCAAGCGAGAAGGGGCAGGCCTTCTCCGAGGGGGAAGTGTCGGTCGTTTCTCGGGCTCGATGTTCGAGGCTTTCGGGCATCGTCGTCAGCTCTCGGCGGCTTTCCCGCCTCGGTGTGCACGCCAGCAGCTGCGCCTCGCCGAGGGCGTTCCGGGGGTGCCCAGATCGCCCCGAAGGGCCGCTGGAGAGCCGAGTTGTGACCGATGAACCACCGGGCGTCCGAGATGGGGCGGGCCTTCTCTGGAGGCTCCGAAGCCCCCATGGCCTGCTGAGATGTTTTCTGAGCCTTCCCCGAAGGCACAGAAGCTTCTCAGGAGGTCGGAGGGCTTCTGAGGAGCCCCGCCGCCCTCTGAGAAGGCATGCTCCTTCTCACCTCCCCCCCCCTCGCTCGCCGCCGATCTGCAGCTTGCCCTGGCTACAGCTCGTGAGCTTCTGTCGGAGGCCCTTGACAGCTTCGGCGGCGAAGCCTCACGACATCGAGGCCCTGGCAGTAGCACGGGCCTGCCGGCCATCCCTGCGCAGTTCGCCGCCTCCTCTGCCGTCTTTTCATTCCTGCACTTCCCAGCCCATCCTGTCCCTCCGAAAGAGAAGCTACACCACCACCACCACCACCAGGACCACCACCACCACCACCACCACCACCACCACCACCACCACCACCACCACCACCACCACCACCTTCACCAACGGGGGTGCCGCCTCTCGTGAGCAGGTCCACGATGTCTCCTCGGGGGAGTGTCTCGAGCGTGGTGGTGTGGGGGGGTGCGCAGCCTCAGGAGGATCCCCCGCCTGGCTCGTCGCGTTCCCGCTTCCCGGTCCCGCCTCGCCCCGCTCTTGCCGCCTGCCCGCCCTGGCTATGCCTGCGAGATTCGCCGCCTCTGCCTGCCCGTCCTTCCTGTCCCTGCTCCCCGCCCCCTCCCGTCCCGCTGCCTCCCCGCTCCTGCTGGCATCCCTAACTACGCGACCGCCGCCTCCTCTGCCTGCTCGTTGTCTCACTCCGCTCCCTGCCCCATCCCACGTTTTCGTTGCATCTTCGGGGGACCTCGCCTACCCCCAAAACTGATGTCTTCCCTTGTGCGCGACGAGGGCTCGATGCGGATTAGGCGTGGATTCGACGCGGATTCTAGACGGATCCGACACGGATCCGACCAGTCCGACGTGGATTCGACACGGATTCGACGCGAATAGGGCCGCGACGGGACAGTAAGGTCCCCCGACGATGTAACACATCCATATGTACCGTTTTTTCCCCGCTCCTTCTGCCATCCCCACTCATTCACCGTTTCCTCTGCCTGCTTGGTTTCCTTCCCTCGCCCCCTGTCCCGTCCCAGTCCCGCTTCGTCCCGCTCCTTCCTCTTGCCCGCCTCACCTGGCTCATCGCGCTGGTGGTGGTCCCAGACATGCGACGTGTCGATTGAGTCAAGACGGGGCCGCCCGAACGTTATTCAGGGCCAGGTCAGCTTGCATCCCGAGCAGTGTTTTGGCGGTCCTAAGCCCTGGCGAGGGCTCCCAGATGCCAAAAACGACTACAAACCGCACGTCGCCTTTTTAAACGACGCGATCATGTCATGCTTGGTGTCGCTTGTCCCGGTTCCCATTCCAGTTTTTTCCCGTTCTTTACACCTGCCCGCCACACGGATGCAACTCGTGGGAGGTCAATTTCTGAGTTTGCCCTGGTCCCAAATCCGGTTTGACCTGGCTTAATCCGGCTTGATCCCCGTACATCCCGCCTAATCCGCCCCAATGGAGCTCAATTATGTTTTATCCTTCCGACGAAGACTTCCCAGTAGTTGCCTCCTAACTCTCCGGCGGCCAGGTCTCGGGCGCCGCGAACGCCCTTGGCATCCTGGCGCCCCCCGTCTCCGCGGAGGACGCCTCCGCGCGAGCCTCGGAGTCGAGAGGCACGGAGGGATCTGTGGTCGGCCCAGAGTGGCGAGCGCGCGCGCGCATTCGCGGGCGGGTGGCCCCAGTCCTCGGAGAAGGAAGCACGGCATAAGCATGCGGGCGGAGCGAGGTACAAGATGGAGGTCAGTTCGGGGAGGGTGCCCCAAATGGTCTTCTTCGTGGTTGTTGGATGTCATTGTGCATCCTGTCGGGCGAAGAGAACTATGCGCATGCACCGATCCTGGCAAGGCCCATCTTTGACCCAGGATCGGTGCATATGCCCTCCTGGCCAAGGTAGGAGGGCGTATGCACCGATCCTGGGCTCAGGATGGGCCTGGCCAGAATCGGTGCATGTGCATAGTTTTTTTCCTCTAATCCTGGAGGAGGGTACCCTCGGCTTTTCTGTCCGTGTTGGCCGACGGAGGGCCTCGTGTTCTCGAAGGACGCTCTTCTGGCCCATAGGTCCGACTGTAACGACACAGCGTTTCGGAACGCGGGCATCCACGCGCCTCTCTTCTTCGCCATCGGCGCTTCTCTAGGGTGGCCCCAGTCCAGTGGTCTAGGGGAGATGCTCGTCGCAGAAGTCAGCCACGCGCAGAGGGGGGTGGGGCAAGGGGGGAGGGCCTCTTGGAAGCACCCCTGCTTCTTAGACAGCGCGGGCCTTCTCCATGGATGTACGGCCGGCGCCTTCTAAGAAGCAGCCTCCTTCTAAGAAGCCCTCCCCCTCCCTCCACCCCCTTGTGCGCGCCGCCAAAGAACGGCGATCGCGCGCGCTTGCGGGCGGCCCCAGGACTCAGAGGAGGCCGACGTCAGACGGCGGTTGCTCTTTGGCCTTCGGGGGGTCCTCGCCACGGCTGGACGCCGCTCGGCACGCTGGTGCGCCTGGGCCCCGGGGAAGGATCCGGGGACCGAGAGCTCGAGCTGCCGTCGTCCTCGCCCTCGCCCTGCTTCGACCCGGGGTGGTCGCTGTTCAGCTTCTGCTTCTTCCTCCTCCTCCTCCTCCTCCTCCTCCTCGTCCTCGTCCTCGTCCTCGTCCTCGTCCTCCCTCCCATCCAGCTCCTCCTCCCCCTCCTTACCCGTCTCGCTCTGCCTCCTCCTGCTCATGCTGCTGCTACTGTTCCTCCTCCTCCTCCTCCTCCTCCTCCTCCTCCTCCTCCTCCTCCTCCTCCTCCTCCTAGCCCTTCTCCTCCTCCTCCTCCTCCTCCTCCTCCTCCTCCTCCTCCTCGCGTGGCCCCACGCCTCTCGGCACGGCAGTGCGTCGCCGCAGCAGTGCGCCTCGGCTCTCGCTGGTCTGGTCCGCGGCTCCGCCAGTCGAGCGCCGGCGTCTGGACAGCGCCTGGGCAGCGCCCAGGCAGCAGCACTGCGCAGCAGTGGCCCTTCGTCAGAGGAGGGAAGGTACCCATACCGCTACCTCGCGACCGTTTTCCCCTCTTTTGGCATCGTGTGAGGCCCTCGTCGCCACGGTTGGATTCTCCTCGAAGGTTTGGTTGGAACGCGACCCCGGAGAGGTCCGGAGAGGTTTCCCCGTGGGCAGCAGTGGCCCTTCGCCGGGGCGACCTCTGGTGCGCGGCTTTCGGGAGGCGCGGAGGGGCCACGGCCCGGGCGAGCAGGCCGCCGTTGTCGCATGCTGCGATCGGGAAGCCGCGCAGCAGAGGTCACGGTGCCTGCGCTGGGTCTGCGTGCCTGATGCGCGCCTGTCCTGGTCCTCGGGGCCCTGCACCACCCGGGCTGTGTAGTGCCAACGTGTGTATCGTTTTCGTGGCATGACCCACGTGAGTTTCACGTGTGCAGAGTACCCAAGCCTGCTAATGTTGTCAACAGCGTGTTGGCGATGGGCCTGGTTATCCAGCATTGGTTTACAGATCGAAAATGCCTACGGCGAATCACCGCTCCCCCCTGCCTTTTAGAAGCGCCCATGTTGCCAACCGTTTTGGTTGTTGGGTTGGGCCGAAAAGAAAAAGTTTAATAAACGAACCGATAAATGAGTTAATGTGGGCCCGAACGATATTCCGATATATATGTTCCGAAAAAAGGAAGAATAAAGTAATGAAAAAAATATTAAAATGAAAAAAGCAAACGTATAGATGTTTCTTCTTCACAAGCGATTTTCAGTTGTGGAACCCATGTGGGAAAAACACTTGAGGGAGAAAACGAATGAGGAGGAGGAGGAGGCGGGGAGGAGGAGGAGGAGGTGGAGGGGAGGGGGAGGAGGAAGGAGGGGAGGATAGGAGGAGGATCAGGAGGAGAAGGAGGAGGAGAAGGAGGAGGAGGAGGAGTAGGAGGGGGATGAGGAGTAGGAGGAGGAGGAGTTGGAGGAGGAGGAGGAGGAGAAGGAGGAGCAGGAGGAGGAGGAGGAGGAGGAGGAGGAGGAGGAGGAGGAGGATAACAGGACATCCCTGATCAGGTAGACAGATCAGATACCCCGAGCAGGAGTGCTGCCCAGGGGCCTCCCGGTCACTCTTAAGGGGCCTCTGGGGGCCTATATGCGGTTGCTGGGTCTCAGGAGGCCCTTTGGGAGCTTCCCTTGGCCGACGTGGGGCCCTGTTGGCCCGCCTTCGAGTTGTCTTGGAAGTCTCTGGGGCCCTCTTGGGGCCCTCTCTGGGGCCGTCTTGGGGTCCCTGTAAGGGCCGTCTTGGGGCCGTCTGAGGGGGTCGTGTTTTTTTTTTGGACCGTTTTGGCGCAATATTGGAGGCCCCTGGGAACTCCTGCACGGGGCCCCTGATCTGTCTGCCTGATCAGGCCGCACTCCTCCTTCTCCTCCTCCTTCTCCTCCTCCTTCTCCTCCTATCCTCCTCCTTCCTCCCCTCCCTCCTCGACCCGCCTCCTCCCTCCTCCTCTCCTCCGCCTCCTCCTCCCTCCTCCTCCTTCTCCTCTCTCTCCTCCTTCCTCATTATCTCCTGCTCCTGGCTCCTCGCTCCGCCTCCTCCTCCTCCTCCCCTCCTCCTCCCCTCCTCCTCCTTCTTCTCTCCTCTCCTCCTCCTCACCTCCTCCTCCTCCTCCTCCTCCTCCTCCTCCTCCTCCCCCTCCCCCTCCTGCTTGCGTTTCTGAGCCACCCCGGCGTGCCGGCATTCTCACTTTCCCCCCTCGCTCGCCGCCGACAAAAGCACTAGTCCCGAGCAGCGTCCCGCCAGGGCGGCCAGGCGGGCCTTCGAGGACCAGCGGCCGAGATCGCAGCAGGCCCCCACGGAAGCAGCGAAGGTTGACGCGTTGCCCGACGAGGGACCAGCAGCCACAAGTCGCCCTGGTGGCCTGCTCAGCGAGCGCCTGCCCGGGGGCCGAGCAGCGTCTGGCCGGGGCGGCCAGGAGGGCTCCCCCGCGGGACCAGCCGCCGAGGTCGCAGCAGGCCCCCGCGGAGGCAGCGAGAACCGCCAAGGACCCCAGAGGACCTCTGGAAAACTTGCCGAAGGCCGAAGCTTCAAGAGAGAGCAGCAGAGCCCAAGGGAGGAAAAGGTGCCCATAGAGCTACTGCTACCCTTCCCTGGTTGTCCCCTTTTTGGGGCCCCCCTGGGAGGCCCTCGTCGCCGCGGCTGGATTCGCGTCGAAGTCCTGGTCAGAACGAACCCCCGGGAGAGGTCCGGGGAGTAGCGGAATATGTTTATAGGTTCCCCGAGAGGTCCCCCGAGAGCTCCGAGTAGGCCTCCAGAGCCCTCCGAAGACCAGCACCGGCCGCCGAGGAGCAGAGAAGGCCTCCGGACCAGCGGACCCCCCGGAATGCCAGGGCGCACAGCTCGGGAGGGGAGAAGAGAGCCGCCCCACACACCCACCATGGGGGCACGCAAACCGGGATCAGAGCAGACCCCAGGAGACCCCTGGAAACGACCCCAAATGGTATGGTTTTCGCAGGGTCGGATCGGGCCGAACGGAAGGGGGGGATAGGGAAAGGGGGGGTGACGAAATCTGCTGCATGCAGCTGGTTTCGGCCTCGCCGCCAGGCCCATTCCTACATGGGCGCCTCCCGGCGCTGGGAGGCGCCGGGAAAATCTGCTACGTGAGCTGAGTCTCACCCCCCCCTTTGCTATCCCCCCCTTTCGCCCGACCCCCCCCCCCTTTCGCCCGACCCGTTCGCAAGGGCCCTTCGTGTGAGCAAAAGGAGAGGAGGATGGGCTCCGACGACAGGGAGAAGCCCGCAGCCGGCGAACCCGACCCACCCGACCCCACCCCGCAGGAGGAGGCGGCGGGGGCGGGAGCGGGAGGGAGGGGGAGAAAGAGGGAGGAATAGGACGGAGGAGTAGGATCAGGAGGAGGAGGGGGAGGAGGAGGAGGAGAAGGCTAAAGTGGAGGAGGAGGTGGAGGCGAAGGAGGTGGAGGCGAAGGAGGAGGAGGAGGCGAAGGAGTAGGAGGAGCAGGAGGTGAAATGGGATGGGTGATGATGATGCTCATGATGATGCTGATGACGATGCTGCTACTGCTGATGATGATGACGATGATGATGATGATGACGATGATGATGCTGCTGCTGATGACGATGCTGATGATGATGCTGATGATGATGATGATGATGATGCTGATGCTGATGCCGATGATGCTGATGAGGGTGAGGATGATGATGCTGATGATGATGATGCTGATGCTGCTGATGGTGATGATCATTTTGATGCTGCTGCTGATGATGATGAGGATGAGGATGAGGATGAGGATGAAGATGATGATGATGATGATGATGATGATGATGATGATGATGACGATGATGGTGATGGTGATGGTGATGATGCTGATGACGATGATGAGGAGAATGAGGATGAGGATGACGATGAGGATGAGGATGAGGATAAGGATTCTGATGATTATGCTGATGCTGATGCTGCTGATGATGATGATGCTGATGATGATGCTGACGATGATGATGATGCTGATGCTGATGCTGCTGATGCTGATGGTGATGATGATGATGCTGATGATGATGATGATGACGATGATGATGATGACGATGCTGATGATGATGATGATGATGATGATCATGCTGATGATGATGATGATGATGCTGATGATGATGATGATGATGATGGTGATGATGATGATGATGATTATGATGATGCTGATGTTGATGCTGATGCTGATGATGATGATGATGATGATGATGATGATGATGATGATGATGATGATGATGATGCTGTGATGATGATGATGATGAGGATGATGATGATGATGCTGATGATACGAGGAGCAGGAGGAGGAGGAGGAGGAGGAAGAGGTTCAGAGATCCAGACCTATCGCGAAGCGAATCAGGAGGAGGAGGAGGAGGAGGAGGAGGGAGGAGGAGGTGTAGGAGGAAGGAGAGGAGGGGGAGGTGTAGGAGGAGGGGCGGAGGAAGAGGAGGAAGGGGAGGTGCAGGAGGAGGAGGACGACGACGACGACGAAGACGAGGCGGGGGAGGAGGCGACGGATGAGGAGGCAAGGGAGGAGGAGGAGGAGGAGGAGGAGAAGGAGGAGGAGGAGGAGGAGGAGGAGGAGGAGGAGGAGGAGGCGCAGCAGGAGAGCCCCGAGCAGCAGCAGGATCAGAAAGGGGAGTGGGGCCAGCTCCATTTCCCGTGCAGGGCGGGCAGTCCATGGACCTGCTCGCCTACGCGGAGGAGCTCAACAGGACTCGAGTAGGGGATCGACTACAGAATCGATTTACCCCAGACTTGATTTCCCGTCGAGCCGACGAACAGCGAGCGCGTAGAGTGCTCTGCGGAGCATCCTACGTACGGAGACCAAGTTCGGGGCAGATCAATTCTGTACACGCGGGTCGTTGAAAGTAGGTAGTTTTGGATTCCCAGATCCCAATCTACTTTAAGCGCCTTCCTACTTCAATAATCGACATGCTTTTGCTCTGTTTTGTTATTATGTGGGAGGACCTGGACCCAATCTGCTATATCGGCCTTCCTACTTCATGTTTCTACCTACCTCTTCCGACCGACGTGCAGTCGACCCCCCTCCTCCGAGGACGACCTTCGGCAGGCAGCTGCAGTCGGGCAAGAAGAAGCACATCAACCTAGGCCGGCCGCCCCGAGCCGAGCGGGCGGGGCGACGTCCCTGGTCGGGCGCCCCCCAACGGTGTGGTGGTCACAGCGTGCCCCCCGTGGCAGCGCGGGAGCCCACGCTTCGGAGGTGACTAAAGCGAAGGTTTGGGAGAGGCGAGAGGTGTTTTACTTATTGATTTAGATGTGTATCCATGTATACATAAATATGTTCACACATATATGTATATGTACATCCATATGTACATATTCTTGTTTTATATATATATATATATAAGTATATTCGTTGATTATATATATGTATACACATATAGATCTTAAGGACTCCGCCCTCTGCCGCCGGCCCCCCTAGTACTAGTGCGTGCGGCTGCGTGCATAGCGCCGTGGGTGCTTCTCGTGGCAGGCTTCTCGGCAGCGTCTGCGGGTCCTTGTTGGAGCTTCTTGGAAGCCGTTTTGGAGCCTCCTTGGGTCTCTTGGGGGTCTCCTTGGGGCCTCTTGGGGGCCGCTTGGGGGCCTCTTGCGGCCTTCTTGGGGCCTCCTGGGGCCTTCTCGGGACGGATAGGTCGAGTTTTCGGTTCGTGGACTCCCTCTTGGGCCTCTCTCGGGACCGTTTCAGGGCCCTTTTGGGCCGTCTGGAGTGCCTTCTGGACCGTCTTAGGGCCCTCTTCGGCCGTCTTGGGGCCGTCTTGGGGGCCTCTTGGGCCGTCATGGGAGCTTCTAGGGCAGTCGTGGGGCAAACTTGGAAAACTCTTGGTCCGTCTCAGAGCGTCGGAAAGCCGAAAAGGCGAGAAGGCCAAAAGCCCTCAAAAACTCCTCAGGGAAATCATCGATTTTCGCGTGGCCGTCTTGGGAGGCCTCTTGGAGGCCTCTTGGAGGCCTCTTGGAGGCCTCTTGGGCCGTCTTGGCAGCATCTTGGGGTCATCGTTGGACATCTTGGGGCCATCTTGGGCCGTCTTGGGCTCCTGAGGATCTTTTCGGAGCCTCTTCGGGTAATCTTGGAGGCCTCTCGGGCCGTTCTGGCCGCGCGGTGGCGTCACCATGAGAATCCTGGGGTGGCCCGGAGCGGTCAGTATTTGAGGTTGACCCCCCCGTTGGCCGTTTGGTGGCGCGGCGGGGCCCCCGAGCAGACAGTCAACAAGAGGCAGGAAAGAGGACTGGAGAGACAAACGGTCAGACAACAAACGACGACACACGACACACGACAGCAGACCGCACACACCTTCGCAGCCTCGCGCGCCCCAGGAGGGGGCCGGCGGAGGTAGGCGCACGTCTACATTGCGGAGGCTTGGCGGCCGCTACCGCCGACCCTGAAGGGGGACGACGACGACGACGACGACGAAGACGACGACGACGACGACGGTGGCGACGACGACGACGACAACGTCGCTCGACGACGACGACGGCGACGCCAGATATAAGTGCAAAGCAGCATCGTGTGGTGCGTCGGCGGGGATGTGTGGGTGCAGCGCGCGGCTTTTCGGGGGCGCCAGGCCGTGCTCCTCCGGTCGAGGGCCCTGCCTCCCCAAGGGGCCGGAGGAGCCCGAGGGGCCGGAGGGGCCTCTCCGAGGGGCCGGAGGGGCTTCTCCGAGGGCCCGGAGGGGCCTCTCCGAGGTCCCGGAGAGGGGGCTCGGAGCGCCGGCGCGAGGCGCGGGGCGGGGCCTCCCGGGGGCGTTCGACCCTGACCTTCCAGAGGGCCAAACAAAAATTATCCCGGCAAAGCAACCTAACAGCGATGTGTAGGAGCATATCTGGAAGCATTCCCCTTAAGATTCAAATCAGAACCCAGTTGTAGAATTCTGCTGTTCTCGCAGTCGTAGTCGCATTCGCGATGACAGTCGCAGCGGCAACGGCAGTCGCAGTCACAGCCTCAGCCTAAGTCTGCCTCAGCCTCAGCCTCAGCCTAGCCTCAGTCTGCCTCAGCCTCAGCCTCAGCCTGCCTCAGCCTCAGCCTCAGCCTTCAGCCTCAGCCTCAGCCTCAGCCTCAGCCTCAGCCTCAGCCTGCATCAGCCTCAGCCTCAGCCTCAGCCTGCCTCAGCATCAGCCTGCCTCAGCCTCAAGCCTCAGCCTGCCTCAGCCTCAGCCTCAGCCTGCTTCAGCCTCAGCCTCAGTCTGCCTTCAGCCTCGGCCTCAGCCTCAGCCTGCCTCAGCCTCAGCCTGCATCAGCCTCAGCCTCAGCCTCAGCCTGCCTCAGCATCAGCCTGCCTCAGCCTCAGCCTCAGCCTGCCTCAGCCTCAGCCTCAGCCTGCTTCAGCCTCAGCCTCAGTCTGCCTTCAGCCTCGGCCTCAGCCTCAGCCTGCCTCAGCCTCAGCCTCAGCCTCAGCCTCGCCTCAACCTCAGCCTCAGCCTCAGCCTGCCTCAGCCTCAGCCTCAGCCTCAGCCTCAGCCTCAGCCTCAGCCTCAGCCTGCTTCAGCCTCAGCCTCAGTCTGCCTGCCTCAGCCTCAGCCTGCCTCAGCCTCAGCCTGCCTCAGCCTCAGCCTCAGCCTCAGCCTGCTTCAGCCTCAGTCTGCCTTCACAGCCTCGCCTCAGCCTCAGCCTCAGCCTGCCTCAGCCTCAGCCTGCATCAGCCTCAGCCTCAGCCTCAGCTTGCCTCAGCTCAGCCTCGGTCTGCCTACAGCCTCGGCCTCATCCGCCTCAGCCTGCATCAGCCTCAGCCTCAGCCTCAGCCTCAGCCTCAGCCTGCCTCAGCCTCAGCCTCAGCCTCCCTGCCTTTGCCTCAGCCTCAGCCTGCTTCCCTCAGCCTCAGTCTGCCTTCAGCCTCGCCTCAGCCTCAGCCTCAGCCTCAGCCTCAGCCTGCCTCAGCTCAGCCTCAGCCTTCACCTCAGCCTCAGCCTCAGCCTGCTTCAGCCTCAGCCTCAGTCTGCCTTCAGCCTCGGCCTCAGCCTCAGCCTGCCTCAGCCTCAGCCTGCATCAAGCCTCAGCCTCAGCCTCAGCCTGCCTCAGCATCAGCCTGCCTCAGCCTCAGCCTCAGCCTGCCTCAGCCTCAGCCTCAGCCTGCTTCAGCCTCAGCCTCAGTCTGCCTTCAGCCTCGGCCTCAGCCTCAGCCTGCCTCAGCCTCAGCCTGCCTCAGCCTCAGCATCAGCCTGCCTCAGCATTCAAAATGTGGCCCGGGAGTTGAATTCTGGGAACTCGAAGAACACGAAGTGGCCTACAGCTGGCCCCGGGCATTCAAAATCATGCCCAGGAATAGGTTCTGGGAACTCGAAGACCACGAAATGGCTTACAGTTGGCTCCGGGCATTCAAAATGTGGCCCGGGAATGGTGTTCCCAGAGCGTCGCGGGAGCCTCGAAATGTAGGACATGTGCTCGAAAACGCACGCGTGTTCTTTAAAATTCGGAATCGTTTGGTTGGTTTGTCGTTTTTTCTTGTGGAGGTTTCATCGGTTCCTGCAATGCCACCGAAACCGAAACCCTGATTCAATGAAAAGCCATTCGTTTTTCATGGACGTTGCTCTTTTGTGCCTGCACCATAAAAAAAGAGCGGTCGGGTATATTTGGCTATCGCATCAAACGCATCACTGTTGTCAGTACGGTGCGTCTGACGTTGTATCTGGTGCGTGTTGAATCGTAGGCGTTGGGCAACGCGTATCTCGAAGCTTTCGGATTGTTTGCGTGTCGGTCGGCCTCAAAGCTGGCTGCATCTTTGAATCCAATATGCACCCCGTGGTCGCAGGTCACAGGTTGAAAGTGTAGGTTACATGTGAATATGGTGACGATGGGCTCTCATAGTTGGGTGCTTGAGCAAAGATAGCGGTTATGAGGGAGGAGGAGGAGGGGGAGGAGGAGGAGGAGGAGGAGGATGAGGAAGAGGAGGCGGAGGAGGAGGAGGAGGATGCGGATGAGGAGGAGGAGGAGGAGGAGGAGGAACGACAGTAGGGGGAGGAACGAGGAGAGGACGAACAAGATCCTGACATCCCCACGATTCCCGAACTTGGAGGGCAAGGGGGGCGCGACTTCAGGGACATGCAAACACGTGGGCGCATTGTGTTGGTTCCCTGGTTGTCCGTTTGACGTTGTCCCTGGTTGTCCTGCGGGGGGCACCTCCAAACATCTTGAGATCATCTAGGGTAGTCTTGGGAACATCTCGTGAGCTTCTGAATGTCTGTTGGGGTCTGCGGGAGGCTCTTTTGGGACTCCAGGGGGTCTGCGGGCGGAGAGCTCTGCACGTCGGTCACGCGCCTTCCTTGTCGTCGTCGTCATCCTCCTCTTCCTCCTCTTCTTCCTCCTCCTACTTCCTCGCCTCCTCCTCTTGCTCCTCCTGCCTCCTCATATCCGCCTCCTCCTGATCGCCAGACCCTCCTCATCCTCGTCGCCTTCCCCTCCCCCCCCTGTCCCGCGCCCTGCTGCTCCTCTTGACTCGCCCTCTCTGGCAGGGCCACAAGGAAGACGCGTTAGATCCAAGAGCCAGCCCTCCATGCTGATGTGATTTGCGATGGTGGGAACTATGCTGATGATGATGATGATGATGATGATGATGATGATGATGATGATGATGATGGTGATGGTGATGGTGATGATGTGATGATGTGATGATGTGATGATGATGATGATGATGATGATGATGATGATGATGATGATGGGCTGATTGCTTGATGGTTCGCATGGCGATGTTGTTGACGATGGTTTTCTCCATTGCGTGCAATCACGCATCAAACTTCAACACTGCCCACTTGAACAGAACTGTATATGAAACATTCGATGAATGCGCACTCTGACCAATGTGTTTGAAGATCCGTTGGAGGTCCTCGTCTGAGTATACCCAAGTGGCCTTTGGGTTGAACAATTTCGCATCATATTCGCAAATGTGCTGGGTCATATGGAATTTTGGAATCATCTTCCAACGCCGAACCTGTGCATTGAAAGCCTCGGCTGCGAGCATGGTGTAGAAACCCATGAATGCACGACACGCGCTTGTTAAATCTCGCTGGGCGGCAGGCGACAAAAAGCGATCGCCTTCGCCCATGATATCATAGATCTTGACAAGGGTTTCGCACGCCCCCCTTCTCCACGCATCGTGCTC